CGGATTGGGAGCTCCTACCCGCTCCACCGCAGCCGTCGCTGGGCCACCCCGGCCAGGTTGGTGGAGTGTCCGTGGAGGTGCCAGAGGTGCCCCCAGGCAAGCTGCCAGCTTCCGCATCCGCGAGGCTCCCTGCTCCGGCCTCGCCCGTCGTCTCCGCCGCCAGGCTGGCTGTGGCTGCGCTAGCCTCCTGCAAGGCCGACCCGGCCATAGGTGGGCGGATGGCCGGCGCGGGCGCCACCCCCACTCCCCTTGCTGGCGTCTCCTCCGGCCAGCTGCTGCCGTCCCCGACGTCAATGCCGTTATCCTTGCGGGGGCCAGATCAGGCGGATCCATCACCGACAGGTCTTTCATGCACCATCCCGGAGGCTTCTCCCGTGCGTCCTGGTTGGGGGGACTGGCTTGGTTGTTTCAGAGGGAAGACGATGCCCGCTGATCCCATATGTTACACCCCGACAGCTCGTGGGGAAACGTTGGAAGGCTGGCACCTTGTCACCGAGCGCCGTCATTCGCCATCTTCACAGGCCTTTTGTCAACCCGTTTTCAATGCCCGGCCAGCTCCTCCGTCGTGGTTGAAGGATCGATGTTTTCGGTGCCTCTCCAAAGGTCATCATGCCCACTCTTGCAGGGACCCAATTCGGTGCAGAAGCTGCCTCTATTTCGGCCACACTGCTCGCTTCTGTCGTGCAAAGAACACCGGCCACCAGTCTACGCCGCTTCGATGTGCTGCTCCGTCGCCCTCCCAAGTGCCTGCTCCTGCCAAGGATGCTACCATGGTAGAGGTGCCGCTGCAGTCTGTCCTCGCGGAGCAGGCTGAGCAGCAAGACTGCCTGATGAGAGTTGAGAGTTTTTTGGCGAGAGCTGAGGCGGTTCTGTGCAGGCTCACAATCATTCCAGATTTGCCTCCATTGGCCGAGATCCAGGTTGATTCCAAGGGCGAGGGTGAAACAGACCCCTATGGTTGTTTCTCTCCTCGTGGTAGGCACATCGCCGAGGTCGTCACTCCGGTGATTCAGATTATGCCTGGGCTGCAGGAGCTATGTGAGGCACCATCTCCGCCTTTGTCGATGGTGCTTCCAAAGGAGATGGGCTTGGTAATGCCCATGATGCCATCTTTGCCAATGTTGGCGGAAAGCCCGCCATTCGTTGTTGTGGACAATGAGGGACATGATTTGCCCCTGTCATGTGTGCATCTGGAGACACCTGAGTCCATCGTGTCGGTGGTACCTGTGGTTGATGATGTTGAAGCGGTCGGTGTGCTGCCGCCTGGTCCTTTGGAGCCCAGCCAGCCGCTTGCCTTTGTGGATCATGGAGTTTCTGACGCTTCGGTCACCTAGTCGCGGGTGACAGTTGGGCAGGTTTCTGCGCGTGACAAGGTCAACGAGATTCTCTTCAAGTTGGAGATTCACAGCTTGCTTGCACGTTTGGAGAGGGCTAGCCCTGGATCTGGCAAGAAGATTATGGAGGAGGCTCTCAAGAGCAAGAGCAAGAAGAGTAGCGCCACAGATAAGGCGTCCGCAGCTGCTTGATGGTTGGTCACCAGTCTCTTAGGTTGTCCTTATGGCTTGGCTTATCTCCGTGGATTTGGTGGTACCTGTGGTCTTCGTTGAGGGTTTCTTTGCGATGTAGCAGTGTGGGGACTGGTGGTCGTTATGTGTTGGGTATGATTGTCGGGTCGATCATGTGCTTATGGGGTTGCATTCTCTGTGAGTAATCCGCACGTGATTTATTTGTATCGGTTTTCGCCCGGTTTTCCGTAAATTAATTGGGCAATTCTCTTCTGCTTAATTAATCAATGAGGCAAATCTTTTGCCTTCGTTTCAAAAAAAACTTTCTCTAATGTGGTTTCGTGATGAAAATTTGCATACACTTCAAGCACTTCTTAAAGTTTGCCACACAAAAAAAAATCAGAATTTCTTATTACTTTTTTTGATTTTACTGTTTACAACAGGAGCGTTTGAGCTCGAGATTAGAAGGATACTTTCGCTACAACAATTTGCTTCTCATTTTTCTTTTGAGGGAACAACAATTTATTTCTCTAGGGGAGTGAGAGTCGCTAATTCGCCTGTGTACATGCGGCTACGCGAGGACGTTATCAACACCGGTGATTTCCTCGTGATTGGTGCGACTTAAATACATCGAGCGCGTATAACCTTATCCAGGCACCGTAGACAAGCTGGTATAGCTCCCGTATGTCCAGCGGATGGCCCACAAGACAGGCTCGTGCATTTAAACGAGACCTCTTTGTGCACCTGACGGATCGCTGCACCACGCGGAAACCAGCGAGGGAATAGGTCACGCCGCTCTCCTCGCTCCCCTCTCTCTCCTGCGACATCGGATCTCGCAGCCCCGTCGCCACTGTCTACATCGCCGGCGGGCATCCTCGCTGTTGAGGAGGTAGAACTCTCCTCCCCTCCCTCTCCCATCTGTCCCCATCCCTCTCTCCTCCCTCCCATCCCCATCTCTCTGCCACTCGCGCTACGTTGGTCGTGCTTGTTCTCTGATGCGGATGGGTGAAGCGGCAGCCTCCTCTGGTCATGGCCGGGAAAGAGGGACTCGTCTCCAACTGGGCATAGCTAGCACCGATGCATCCTTTTGCCATTATCTCCCCTCTCCCTTTTGTATGTAGGTTCAGAACTTCAGATATGTCACTAACCTCCCTTTCCCCTATGGATTAGAGGTGGCTGGGTTGTTTTTATATTACGTGAGGTTGGTGATTAGCATGGATATGTGTGATCTGTCCAGAACACTTTGCTAGCTTATGGAAATGAAGGAATCAGTAGGTAGGCAAAATAGTTATGCAAATGGTGCAAATAGTATGAATAATTTGTGCATATTTTTTCGCCGTTCTCCTTCTGCATTCCTCTGATCCTTTGCCTCAGCTGACAAGCATGTGTTCATCCATGTCCGTGGCTCCCAGTCCCAGCGCAGTTCCACACCACCTGCATCGCACCACACCACCAACCAGTTTCCCCCTCTCCCTCATACGTTTCCCTGAATGCAACGCGGGCTACGACATTGAGTACGTTTTTGAAGTTCCTTTCCATCCATGTTCTTCATTCCAGACTAATCTCTTTTTCTTTCGTTGCAGCATGGAGGATGCAGATTCTGGAAGTGGGCAAACAAGTACATATAATACTTCAGCGTGCCCGACATCTGATTTCGCATGCATCGGTCCATCGCCACGTATCTCTTCTCGAACAGAATCAAGCATTTTGAAGAACATTTTTATCATGGGGCTCCTGAACCTGCGAGCCATGGCCATGATCTTCATGCACAAACTCTGAAGCTTAGCCGCTCTGCAAAGGCACTGCAGTAGTTTTCATATGTATTTCTTTTTCTTTCTGTGCTCCGTAATGCATGTATCAGCTAGTGCGCGTTGCTTTTTCATGCGGGTAGACTGCTGGCCTATCAATAATACATCTCCAAACGTTTGTGTGCATGCAACAACATCATGACAAGTTGTAATCGAGCGATACATAATTAGTCGAACCCAAAACACGAGATACACTGCAAAACAAATCCTAATACACCAAACAATAGGGACGTCATTAATACCACCATTTACGTGTGCACCACAACCACCGACAGTCCATAAATCATGAGTAGACAAGTGTTTAATGAGACCCACCTATTCTACGCCCATCAATTCTCCCAGCTCTCCTGTAGTCTGCACAGCCCAACATGACACCCAGCTGGCAGGCTTATACCGAAATAAACAAAAAATGATGGAATCAACGATTTTTTGTATTGACTAACCTGTTGAGCTCCGTTTGTGCAAAAGCCATGTCCTCTCTCCTAGCTCTTTTTCATTCCCTCCCTCTGTTTTACTACAGGTCGCAGCTTGAAGAAGATCTAAAGGGCCGGGTCTAGGGAGGGTGGTGCTAAATGATGACTGTCCCACGTCAACACAGAAGTTATGCCATCTCCAGAACCGTGGCAGTGCTGGCGGATGGCAGACTTGCATTTACCCCTACGAATCATAAATGTGGTACGACCTGCTCTGTGATGTATACCGCGACGTATTCGAAGGACAAATGATTAGCACGATGTGTATTGCTAATGGGCTATATTAAGTAAGAATCACGATGCGCGCGCGGACGTCCAGGATAGCGGCATCGCGTGGCCGCATGTCCCAAAAATTCGCGTCCAGTGAGAGTAGACAATCTTAACAAAAGAGCTGGCTTGCACACAGATGTCCTCATAGATTGGAGCCGCTGCCGATGCTCTGAACCCACCATTATTTAGTGTGGTAACCACCTCATACAGTCAGACTAAATCATCATCTCATACAGTCAGACTAAATCATCACCTTCTGGCATCCCTGCTGATCTGCTGAATGAATTCCTTGTAGAAAAGCACCAGAACAGCTCTTCATGATTTAATTCGTTACAAACAGGTTGCACATCTGTTTCGTCTCTTGCTTCCATGCATATCGTATTTTTCTATTTGTGTGATCGAGTTTCTTCAGTGGTAAAGCACTTTGATGATCTTCAATATCAGAAAGATATTTGTCCAGTGCAAGCATAAAAACCTTGTTGAAGCCATCGAAACTCAACAGGTCATAAGTCAGCAAAGATTAAGAATGCTAATATTATCCTACAGTATAGACCCCCCAAAAATTAAAAATGGGTAAAAGCCGAGAAGTTTTATATTTTTGAAGGCATGAAGACTGACAGCATGGTTCAACCATCAAGAATCAACGTCATCAGGCATCGGTGTTAAAAGCTAATTTCTTCTTCTCATTTCTCAAATCAATACAGATGGCATTTATGTTCACAAATCGCTGTCACACATCTTTCTCTCCAGCTGCTTTCTTTGACAAATTCGACAAGGTGATTAAATATGGACCGTTCTTTCTACCAATACAACCGCCACAGCCCACAGGATTGTATTCAACAAGCACAACAGGCCTCCATGCACAAAAAAACCAGTATGACAGGCCACACCCTCGTTACCACATCAGACCTACAGCTATGTTATTCTGGCGGAACACATCTGTGCTAGTCATACAGTCCCTCTTGCTCCCAGATGTCCACGAGGAAATCAACCATCTCCTGTAAATTCATCGTCTAGGTTTAACCACATGCCTTACAAGGAACGTTAAAATAAACTGATTTAGATCATCTTTTTCAGATCAACTGAACTGATTTAGATCTTACATGTAGAGGGATGGGCTGAGGGAATGGTTTATTTGATCCAAGCAAACTTTCATACGCTGCATTCCAACTGCATAAAAATAATGGTTTGGGTGAGCATGAAGATTCACAGTACAGCATACTATTATGTTTCGAAACAAAAGGGCACAGCATACTATCATCTAGTCTAAGCTTCGTTAGATAATGATTACAGAATGTTCTTCAGCTAAAATTCAAACCTGGTGTCGATTTGAACAAGAAAAAAAATAGCAAGAGCAAGCATCCCATATTTTTACATTTTTGTGTCTAAGTATCTAACTTGTTTTCAAACGTCCCTTCTGGAAGATATGATTCCAATAAATACTTTGTTTGTTGCTTGTAGGACTCCAGAATTATATAACCCTAGAGACAGAAAAACTAAGCTTCTCTACCACATCATAGATCTACTATACAGCCAAATAAATTCAGAGATCAACAAGAAAATACAGCAGTAATGTGCTTTAACACTTCAGACACTCACAATGGTTTTAGAAGGGAAGTGACAAGCTTTATGATAGAGCTAGCACCATTAAGAGCAAAATGAAACCCAATATGGGCAGTACAACCAAACTGCCTTGATTAAAAAAAAGGTGTTCACAATAACTCAGATTTACCAACTTCGGTCGAAGAAAGGGTGTGAATAAGCACAACTAGGCGCAAAAATATGAACGATGCAAACAAACTGTTGATCAAAATCAGAGAAAAGGTTGTACATGCATACTATTCAGTTGAATTATGTAAAGCTTTTTGTCTTCTTCCACATATAGATCGGACATTCCATTTTCATACCTCAACACTGGTTCCTGGATCTGCTTCACCACAGGTTCTTGCCTTAACCTTGTATTCTCAGTCCACTCATCCCTAGTTTGTTGCCAAAGAGAAAAACCTGCAATGATATTTCCATCTGGTGAGATTACCATGTCCACTAAGACTCTTAACAGGCAGACATGCGATGATTCCTTTAATCCTCCGTTAGACAATAATGGCAATTGGACTTTTATTACCCCCTTACTGCTCAGGAAAAAAAATCAGCAACGGTTTGCCAGCACAAGTTCGTTACAGTCCAAATTTAGTAGGAAAATATGAAAGACATCATCCAAAATAAAGTATGAAGTATGAACTCGAAGTTCCCAAACAAATGCTTTGCTGAAAATCTAGCTCGTACATGGAAAGAAAGTGATTTCCCACAACTAAACCAAAAAAGCGTGAACTCAAATTTCCTAGTAACAAAGTTTCCTTCTTAGAACCACAACAACTAAGACAAAATGGTAAAGCAATTGCACTTGTCTTCATAAAATACCATAGATGACTACCAAATAAGATTCGAGAGGCTAACACTGTTGGACGTGGACAGTGTTATTATGTATTATATCTTTCTAACGCGCTATCAAGCTAATATATGCATAATTTAAGATAGACTGAAACGAAAACATAGGTGTTCTCCACAATTAACATTACTAGATGCTGAATGCAAAGACAGGAGATTCGGCCAAAATGAAGCTTGATGTTTGCAAAGGTATCTGGAAAATGCGTACATGTGGTGAAAACACGCCTGTTGAGCACAACATATGCTAGTTCAAAAAGGAATTACCATGATTAGCAGAGTCGCCCAGGTTATGGCTGCTTCCCACTCCATGCAGATCAAGGTCCCAAGAGGATGTGTTGTATGGTGCTCGTAGGTCTGCCGGATCAACCTCGATGGTGGTCGTACTCCAAAATTCCTCTGCCACCGTGGGATTCTGGGCATGGGCCATTAAGCTCTTGGAAAGATCGCCTACGTGTTTTGCGGCCTTCTCACAGCATCCAAAACAGCCTCTGCTCTGTTTGCAAGGAGTTTTTACATATCGACGATTAGCACAGAATCACTCACCAAACCAACAGACACACACAGTGACACACAGCAAAAGAAAGTGGTAACCCAGGCAGCCACAGGGGGCTTAATTTTCACAAGTATAGTATCGGTGACAAGAACAAGCACCATAACATAACCGCATGCAGCCTACAAGGTATGCCATTCAATCAAGATACTAAATGAGAAAAAACTACCACTAGAGAGTAATCGGGACAGTAGGCAAGATGACGCTGGCAACGACGTATCAGCGGGCTAGAATCTGAATGAAGTTAAGCGGACGCGGACGAAGGAGGGGGGAACGGCAGGGGAGCCCACCCGGAGCAGATGAAGATGCAGGCGGAGGAGAGCAGCTGCGGGATGGAGCGCCAGTCCCAGCCGGGCCCGAGCTCGACGTCCCAGTCGCCGACCCTCGCCGCCGATCCGCCGCCGCGTGCCGCTGCCATGGCGCCCGGCCACTCCGCTCCGGCTGGAATTGGAGTGTGATGAATGGGAACGGAATCGGATCGGATTCCAGCGAGCCACCGACCGCGGCGATTTATGAGGGATGGGCGCGCGGATTGGGATAAGAGGGAGCGGGGAGGAGGGGGGGCCTGGGTGGGGTGGGGTGGGGGCTGGTGGGGTTGACGAAGATCGCACGGATGGATGACGATGACGCGGTTCGACAGTGCGCTGTGGTTTGGAGTTTTGCCTCTTCGCTTTCGGCCGACCATTCCATCTCCGTGGCACGTTGCGATTTCCACTTGGCCCGTCTCTTCGACCAATTGGACCGACTACCCTTCCTCATCATCATCATAAAAAAACAACTGCAGAGAACAAAAGAGGCTAAGGCCCTGTTTGATAGCAAAGTATTTTCTAAGTATTTTGAGAATACTACAGTTTTTGAGATTACCACGGTTTTATTTACAATGAGCTGTTTGATTGTCCCTAACAACTATGCTTTTAATATTGTAGTATTGGGCAAACTGCAGTTTTTTCTCTGCATAAAAAAAGAACCGCAAACCTCCCTTTTTTAAAACAGAGCTGCTGAGTGCTTAAACACAACGGCTAAATATCAAAATTTACAACGTTATGCGGCAACAACCAAACAGGTTCTATGTATTGTGAATACTGCAAAATACTCTGTTTTGGTAAAACTATGATATCTCACACCTACAAGCAAAATTACTGTAGTTTTTGATACTCTGGTTTATATAATACTTTGCTATCAAACACAGCCTAAAGTGATAATCCCTTTTTGCCAACCAGATTCGAGATTCAAGAGATTTTATTCGCCTGGAAACTATTTTCCTATCAGATTTTCTAGGAAAGATGTGAACCTCAAATGCACATAACCATGATTTATAAAAAGAGATGCAAAGCATGAGCCAAAAAAAATCTGCTTTACAAAAGCAACTTGAGCATAACTCAGATGGTTAGGTTCATTATGGTCGCACCGGTAGTTCTAGACTTGGCATTGGTGTCACATTTTTCTGGATTTATTTTAGCCCTTTCGGCGATGTGCGTCTAGTGGGAGGAGACGTTCCCGTCGATTATGAAGACGTCTGCGGCGACTTCGTTAATCTCAAGATGATATGTCGGCCCAGTCTCTCGAAAGGGATCATAAGGGTTGGGTGCGGGTGCTCATATGAATGGGTGTATGTACGTGTTTATGAGCATTCGTGTATGTACCGTCTTAAAATAAATCGGCCTTACAAAAGGCTAGACCGACATATCACATATGGTTTTGTTGACATCATTTTGTAGCACGGCAAAAAACATAATTAAGATTACCCCGGGTAAAAAAAATGTCCTACATGAGAATTCTTCGTCTCGTCGAGGGGAATGAGTTTGATATTTGGATCAACATAATTGGTGATCGTATACACAAGTTGTAGGCAAAATTATTGGAAACATGTCCTAAAGGCAATAATATGTGTATTATTATATTTCCATATTCATAATTATAGTGTTTATATTTCATGGTATAACTACTGCTATGATCCTGGAATATGCGATTCAATGGAAAACTCATATGCACGTGTGAAATGATAAACGGTTAAATAAAAGGTTTATAGTCTTGCCTCTAGGACTAGCTCAAGTGTTGTTGATGATCATGTTTTTTGGATCTTAGAATATCGTTAAGTGTAACGATAGTCCTAAAACAAACATTGAGATTATGACGTTGGTAGAATGATCATATTGAATCGACCCAATCTTGTATGTTATGAATTGAGTTAATATCGTCTATAATCAATTGTAATAACATGGAGTGTTAACATGTGAATTTGCTCCTTAGACCATGAGAGCATAGTAGTCACTTCTTACCGCACGGTGGGCTTTGGGGTTGCTTAAGCGTCACCTATAGCAAGGTGATCATAACGACAATTCACAGGCACATCGAAAAGTTTGACAGGGGACTAGATAGCTCGAGAGTGGGATTTGCTCCTCCGACTATGGAGAGATATTCTTAGGGCCCTCTTAGTGTGACGACATCAATTATCGTCTGGCCAGACACAGGTGACTTCGTCACGGGGATGCTGGAACACAATAATGAGAAAGAAGAACAAAACCGGTAATGAGGATTTCGGTATAGTGAGCATGGTGATGACTCGGGAGGATACCGATGCATCCCGGGTTTTGTGAAGTATCGCGAAGCAAAGAAAACATCATATGATAATTAACCAAAGGTTCACTCGAATATCACTTGTGTGCTCATAGGGATCGACATGGACGTCCACGGTTCCGATGTCGGTCGTTGATCGAACGGTTTCGTTCATGTCTATGAGTTACCGAACCTACGGGGTCACAAGCTTATGGAAATCATGATCTACTGAGTGTTAGCAGGACGGGAGTGATGAGAATATATTTGTGAAATTGTTTCATTAATATTCAGAATAGTTCTGAGAGGACCCGGAAGTGTTTCAGGGTCACCGGAAGGGTTTCAGTGAATATCGGGTAATACCGGGTATTACCGATATATTATATGTAGGTGGAAAATGTTTTTGGCGATGTTAAAATATACAAAATGGTATAGAAGTATTTTAAACATTTTATATTTAATTTAAATATCAACGGGTCTAAAAAGGCGAAGAGGTGGAAGGAATTATGGGCCATGAGGGCCCTTAAGGAAGTGGCGCCCCCCTTGCCGGCCCCCAAGGAGGGTCTTTCCCTCCTTGCTGGCTGCCCCTCCTCCTCCTCTAACCTATATATACTAGGGTTTTTTTGCTCTATTTTAGACACAAGTTTTGGGGCTTCCTCTAGTTCTTCTAGTTCTAGTTGGTCCGAGTTGACTAATTAGAGCTAGACTAATCCTCTTGTTCTCATAATTAGAAGCCCCATGTGGTTCTAATCTCCTCCCTCTAATTCTCCGACGATGATTAGCTCTGGATGGTGAAGCGCTGCCGGACCATGAAGGCTGCACACTTGCAATCAAGTAGAGAGGCAGTGCTTTCGGTCTTCGGTTCGATTGACTATTCGTGGGTTGTACGAGGGATCGTTCATCAATGGTTCGAGGGACTCCAAGTATGATCTACACCGACATATTCTTCTTCTGATGCAACTCGGTGACGTTAACGATCGTGATCCCAACCTGTTATGCATCTTCATATTGATATTGGGTGATCGTAGGTGCAATTTTTTTTTGTTTTCTACTGTGTTTTCCAACAAAAAACAACACAATGCTGCAAAAAATGAAGATGGCCAAACTGTCGGGCCTAATGCCTAAAACATCTTAATGCCATCGGACAATCCAAAAATTGGGGCAAGACTGTCCGCTCCGGGTTGCAGAAATTGTTAGAGATACGACAGGCAAATCAACACGATGAAGAACAAAAACAAGCAGGAGACACGGGATTTTAACGTGGACACCCATCCAACACGAAGGGGGAAAACCGGGGGCGTCAGCCAACAAATCTTCACTATATCGGGAGAGGTTACAAATGTCCGGGTGCGGCGGCTTATAACATGACCTAGATCAATACTGATCTGTACCGGAAGTGTCTTTGTCACAATTATCGTCATAGAAGTGTCACATCCATGACAGAAAAAGTTTTGTCACAATTATCATCATGAAAGTGTCTTTTTCACAATTATCTCTTCGCTCCGCTTCGGCCCAATCCTACCGGCGACGGGCCTCACCCCACTCACTCATCAAAAGTTAGCCTTTATACTTGAATTTGGATCATAACATAACACAGACAGTCTGGTGCGGACTTTCGGAGAGTCAGACCCGATGGAAACTATTTGTCCCCCAAGATGACCTTGAATTGAAAAACTTTCAACATGAAAGTTGTTCGTCTTGTCAAAATGGTTAAATTTCCTTTTTGGGTCTCCAATCCCTATTTGCATTTCGGTGGGTTGGTCTAGTGCAATAAGTTTGGGGAAAGAGTATATCACAACATTTCTAATTCGCGTGCCAGGCAAGCAGAGCCAGAGCCGCTTCGGGCAATGAAAAAGCTAACAGTAGTTGGAATCTCCATCAGAGATCATATGCGAATTCTGCAGACCAAAAACAAAATTGTTGTCTCGGGCCCACATAATCTGAATTGGTTGATTTGGACGGAATATGGAGTCATTTTCTTATACAGGAAGTCTAGTCGCCTCATGTATAGATGAGAGGTGATAGTCGATTGAACAACACACAATCGAGAAATGACAAACAAATCTATCACCTTTTCACCTTTATCCTTTCTTTCTTTCTTGTTCTTATTCTTCCTCGTTCTTCGTGTTGAAGGGCAGTGACCTACGAGGCCCTAGGGGTGATCAGGTCGACCTAGGGCAGCCCATAGTCGTAGCGCGTCCAGACAGGGTCCCTTTTGGGTGTGTGGGGTTCCGGGTCTACAAAAGCACCAACCTGGTTGCTTGTGTACCATGCTTCCAGTCGGGTATCCTTCAATTTGAGATGTGGTGTATCACCCCTGGTGTCGAGGATACACGATGACATGTTTGTGTGTGAACACACTTTTTGGTGCCCCCGTTGGGGATGAAGCTTTGAACGGTCTCCACCTTGTTCTTGCTATAAAGAGATCGTCATCAAGAAGCTGCGATCTACAAAGGTAATATGAATATTTAATTCACCTATGTAGATGTAAATAATTCATATGTTATTGCCAGATCGTTTAATGAGAATAATGTACTGGCTAGTCGTAGTTTTATCCATCATGCATATAATTACGTGCAGAGCTGATGCAAAATAATCTTCATGCTTCAACTTCTTATAAGTTTAGCAGAATACAATATTTATGTATTCCAACCCTCATCCATGGGCAATCCCACAAATTTATATGTGGATGAACGACATAATGAGTTTGATTAATCAAATTGAAACACCCCATATTGGAACTTCCAATAGTACGCAACAAAGTGTTTCGCCCTTTTATTCATCGGGAAACTAACTTCCAATATGTGAATCCAAACATGTCGGTGGATAAGGGAATTGGATATGCTACCACTAGCTATTCTACCG